CCCCAAAACCCCAAAACCCCAAAACCCCATTAGTTGAAAATTAAAAATAATTATGGAAATTAATTGGCTTATTTAATTATATTTTAATGAAGGAAAACTCAGCAGCATTTTCAATCGGCAAATCCTAGAGAAGTAATCAACTGCATCCCATAACAATAATTAGACGCCTATAATGAAAAAATAAAGCAAGGGATACCTGGACCTGGCTCCTATCATAATGAAATAAAGTCAAATATCACTTTTGATGGAGTTAAATCCTCCCCTGGATGGAAGTAAATAAAAATTATTAAACTTTACAAATATTAGAATGGGAAGTGAAAAGAGAAACACATTTGGATCTGTGATTTAAAGTTCGATTGCACCAGGACCTGGACTTTATGATGCAAATCGTGGTTTAAGTTTTATAAAAGGCAAAATGTCTCCTAATATTACAATGGGTCAAAAGTTTAATGCTAGTAGCATTAATGATCCTTCATACTTGCCAGGTCCGGGTCAATATGACATCAGTGATGAAAAAGAGAAAAGGAGTAAGTCGTACTCAATTGGGTTGAAGTATCAAAGAAATCTGATAGGAGCGAAAGAAGGGCCAGGTCCAGGAACATATAATATAGATAAAGCTGATAAGAGTAGGTCAAGTGGAGGTGTAGGTTCATCTGTGGGAGCTTCATTTTCATTTCCAAAAGATGATAGAAATATTACGAGGGATATAGAAAAGAAATCTAAGGATATTCCAGATCCAACAGCATATGACCCAGCTTTGAGGAATTCATAGATTGGTATATCACTAGGACAAAAAATTTCAATGGAATCTAATTATAAAATGATTACTCCTGGCCCAGGAACTTATAACGTTCAAAGTAACTTTAAGAATAATAGGTATTCTGGTAAAGATTCAAAGCTCTCACATATAGAGAGTGTTAGATCTGGATAAAGCTAATAAGGTCCTAGATAAACATTGCAAACAAACAATTACCCAGGTCCTGGCTAATACATGCAGAGCATGGATAGCTCTATATTCAAAAATTAAAAAGGAACGACATTTGGTAATGCTACCAGAACAGACCTGACTCCAAAAGATGTGCAATCCACTCCTGGTCCGAATTCATACCTTCCAAATATAAACCTTATCAAAAAATCTGCAGCAAATTGGTAGATCAAACAGTTGTTTAAGAATAATTCACATACATCAAGAAATTTGAATCCAGGTCCAGGAACTTATGACGCATTAACTTCAAAATTGTCAGATATGCGTTCAGGGCCATCAATAAGTATGGGCTTGAAGTATGAAATATAAAAAGACCCAACTAGAGGCAATCCAAGTCCTCTTGACTATGCTCCAAATTATGATCCCGTGAACAAAAAATCAACTGGAGTTAAGATTGGAAAGCAGGCTTAAAGAATCAGTCTTGCTGAAAAATCTCAACTAGAAAGTCCACCACCTGATCAGTATTTTTAGAGCATTGAACTATCAGATGCTATGAACAAACTAAAAGGCAAAAGTTCAGGACCCAAATGGACTATGGGAACTTCTTAACGATATGAGATAGGAGGAAGCTAAGCAAAGACTGGAAAGAATTAGCCAGGACCAGGAAACTACGAATTGCCTCCCACTATAGGAAATATCCCTCACTATGAAAGATCTAAAATTAAGACACTCCAATGATTTTCCCTCTATTTTAATATCTCATAATCGTTTATTATTCTTAGTAAAGGGGTTTTGGGGTTTTGGGGTTTTGGGGTTTTGGGG